AACACAGGGCTCTATCTTGGATTCTCACTACCTTACATTGACTGAATCACCTAACTTCTCTGAGAGAAGTTTATCCACTGAATGGGAGAGCATTTACTGGAAAGCCCAGCACATTAAAGGGAATTACATGGAGTAGGCAGGGGCCAGCAAGGGTAAATTCACTTGTAAATGAAAGAGGAGGGTTGGGAGGTGCCCTTGGATTGGGATCCTCAAGCCAAGGTAGGGCTTTGAAGCCCTAGTTCTTCTGGGCACCTACTAAGCCTTCCAGGCCCATCTTACAGGTTGGTTGGTCCAAGGCTCCTCACCAGGGAGTTCACTGGAGGCAGGAATCTCTACAAAAACAGACGACACATCAAGGAAAAACACTAAGTTAAATATGGCCCATAAAGTCAACATCACTCTGAATGTCCCGTATTCTTGGTGGGAAAGAATGCTTTGTACAAATACCCAGGGAGAGCAAAGGAAGCGGCCTGTTCTACTGGGCTTATTTTGGGGCATTCCAGCAGCTCTCAGCCAGGAAGTCAGAGGCAGGAAGCCACTGCCCTCCATTCATTGGCCAGACGCTCCAGGTTAGAAACCAAAGCAGGAAGCACAGACTCCTTAGTCCGGATCAGCTTCAAGTCTATGCGGCCCTCACTGCACATGTTTTCACCTCCATCAGGGTATTCCAGAATCCTGCTAATTGAGCTTGACACTTCTCAGAAGGATACTGTCCTTGACATCTTGAAGACAATCCCCCCCCAAAACATGACATGAACTCATCCCCTTCTCTCTGACCCCACTTCTACCACCCTAATAAAAATAACTGGATGATTGCAAGAGTCTCCTCCTAACTTTCTTTCTTCTACTCTTGCCCCAACCATGAAATCCGTTTCCCCTTAGAGCAGCCAGAACGATGCTAGTAAAACATAATTAGATGCTTCCATCACACTTAAACAAAGATCCCAACCTCCATTCTAGCTTACTAACACCTACCAGCCCCTCTCCATTCTTATCTCAGCTTTTTCCTCCTGTAGCCCACTATCTCCTAGCTCACTGGGCTCCTCGGTTCCTCAAACAAAAAACCATTCTCACTCCGCAATCTTTGCATTGACCATGCCCTTTGCCTACAATGCTGTTCCCCTGACTTTTACTGATCTGGCTCCTTGTCACTCAGATCTCAGCTTAAACAATCACCTCCCAGAGCCCTTCCTCCACTCCCTCAGTCAAAGCACCCAGGGTGAATCCTCTTAAGTGTTCCATATCATTCTCTCCTATTTATGTGTTTGTTTATTATCTGCCTCCTCCACACACCCCTACTGGAATGCAAGCACCCAGGATCAGTGTTTCTAGTGTCTTTTTCTTCACTCTAAATTCAGTGCTGGATCAGTGCCCAGAACAGTACAGGCACACAAGTGGGAATCCAATAGAGATTTAATAAAACTAGACAAATGCATGCCACGAATGAAAGAAATCTTACAGACTGCTGAAGGGCAAGTAGCCCAGGCCTGTGGCTAACACCCTGGACTAGGAGTCAGGCATGGATAATGAATGCTTGCACTCTGTAGCTGTAGGCATGTGGGCAAGTTTGCCCACTTCTCTAGACCTTACATTTCTCAAGCAAAATGGGGATGACAGCACCTGTCTTGTGGGAGTGCTGGAAGAATTGAAAGAGATAAATCATGTAGAGTGCCCAGCACGGAGCTCAGCACAGAAGAAATGTTCCCTGTCATTGCCAACAATCCCACCTTCCAGGTAGCAAAACTGAGACTCAGAAAGGAGCAAGCTTCACCGCTGGAGTTAGATACTGTGTGAGTAGCAGAGCCAGGTCAGAAACGCACATCTTAGTCCCTGTCCTCAGATCAGCTATTCCTCTGACATAATTACAAAACTTTTGATATCATGTCACTGGTTTATATATTTCACCTCGTTTCAGAAAGTATCTAAAGTACCTGACAAAAGATACACATGGTCCATGTCTTTTTTTTTAAGTGAAAAAACTATGGGATGAGAGAAGCAGATGGAAAAATAAGGTGAAGAAAGGGGACAAAAAAATAGGAGCCATAAGTCTCATACTATTTGTTACAAGCAGGTTTCAGATTTGGTCCTCAGATTCCCAGAAGCCAATACAAAACCGGAAAATACTTGGGGAGATATTCCTTTAGAACACCTGGCCATTCAAATGACACAGCAATGTGTGAAAAGGTGCCACTCTCCAGTTGAGAACCAATTATCTGCTTCCTCCTGACCACACTGCTGAGTTCAAATCCCAGTTTCACTACTGAGGGCATGGCCTTGGGCAATCTACTTAACTCCTTGAAGCCTCGGGTTCTTCCTTCATAATGGAGGTTAAAAAAATACCGTACCTTTAAAAAGAAGGAAATTCTGATACATGGTACAATATGAACATCAAGGATATTATTCTGAGTGAAGTAAGCCATTTCACTAAAGGATCAGCACTATATGATTCCACTTATTTGACATTTAGCGTAGT